GGGGGACAGTTGAACCTGGAGGCTCCACCCCTGTTTAATGATGGACGATTTCTTTTCACAAAGATGGCCTCCTTTACTCCTCTCTCAAACCATCGTTCCTCTCTGTCCAGGATGTGAACATCTTCATCCCTGAAAGAGTGACCGCTGGCCTGGAGATGAGTGTAGACCTCAGAGTCCTGGCCTGATGATGTTGATCTTCTGGCAATGGACTGGATGGGACGTGCCGAAGAGATCATCTTAGCACCAACATAACTGGCTTGTTCCACTTTGGAGTAAGCTGTTGGGGGAAGAATCAGTTTTGTGTTGTGTGTTTCCTTGACTGATGAAGCCTTCCGGATCAAAGGCGAAACGTTTCAGCACAAAAAAAGAAACTGTCCAGATGATCTGACTGAAAAATGTTGGATTCCCAGGAAGGTGCTGAAAGACTGTGCATCAGCTCTGCGAGGTTCTGGCCAACATCTTTAACTCCTCACTGACCCTGGCAACAGTTCCCACTTGTCTGAAGACCACCACCATCATCCCAGTCCCAAAGCGCTCTACAGTAGCTGGTTTGAATGACTATCGGCCAGTAGCCCTCACCCCAATAGTCGCTAAATACTTCAAAAACTGGTCATGACCCACATCAAAACAACCATCAACATCAGCAAGGACCTTCACTAGTACGCATACCATGAGAACCGATCAACAGAGGATGCCATCTCCTCTGTGGTCCACACTGCTCTCCCCCACCTGGAGCTGAAGGACTCCTACATCCATATGGTCTTTGTGGACTTCATGTCTGCCTTCAATACCATGATCCCCCAAACCCTGATGGACAAACTACTGACACTAGGACTAAGCCCTTCCATTTGCAACTGAGTACTAGACTTCTTTTTTTTTTTTTAAATGATGGAATGATTTTTATTTATTTATATAATTTCAAGGTATTGGTGTGCTTCTCAACCAAACGTTGTGTTGTTCCAGGCCACATTGGCTGCATCCATGGCCACAAAGTTAACATAAATCCTGTCAGGAGAGACTCCCAGGTGTTTGTTCAGCAGTCCACACAGAAGCTTGGAGTATTGCTTGTTGTGAGCTCCGCTGATCTTGCCGATGCTGTGAAGAGAGCAGAGAGCACAGGGGTCTCCCTTCCCTCCAAACATCATCAGTTGGTCTGGGTTGATGTGCACAGCAATGTACTGCGCAGGTTTGCCCATGGCTTTGGCCAGTTCCTCCGTAGCCTTCGACAGCAGAGCCGGAGGCACGTCGCTTTTAGCCACGTTGGTGTTCACCACAAACATCGGCATGATTGTTCCTCTTTCTTCGATTCTGACAAAGCTGAGTACTAGACTTCTTAACAAACAGACCGCAGTCAGTGAGGATCCACAACTTCTCCTCCTCCACCATAACCCTCAGCACTGGCTCCTCTCAGGGCTGTATGCTGAGCCCTCTCCTGTTCACTCTGCTCACATATGATTGTGCACCTACCCATCCAGGCTGTCACATTGTAAAGTTTGCAGATGATACACAATGAGTCCAGCTACAGGTGTCACAGTTTACACTATGTTTTTTCCTCTTCTCATCACTCCGTTCACTGTTTGACTTTTTCTTCTCTGCTCTCCTGGGTTTTTCCTCTGCTGCTTCTACCAGCCTCTTTACATGCCACGCCTCTCTCCCTGATTGCTACTGATGGTTTCCACCTGTTTCTGGGTGTATATACACACTTCGTGCTTTCTCCACTACATTGCCAAATCAACTGCTTGCTTCCAGCCACAGTTATCCAGTGTACTCTTCTTGTTCACAGCTCTTTAATCTTGATCCACGCCTGTTTCCCTCGACCACGATTTTTGTCTTTCCCTTTTTGTGCCTCAGCCTTCTGATCTTGTTGACAACCTATGCCTGTTTTTGGATTTCGCCTTTGCCTCTCCCTATCGGTACTGTCTCCTCTTCTGATCCTGTGTATGAACTTTGCTCATCCTCGACTACGCCTCTGGATTTCCCTTGGTCTCTGCAGCTCTGTGTCTCTGCTGAAGTGTCCTGTTACAACAAGAAAGATTAGTGTTTCATCAGACCGTCTGTAGTCAGATATCTACTCGTTATTCTGTCAAACATTAACCTTTCCCCTCTGTATCATTTTAGATACAGTTCCTGCCCCTGGACCTGAGACACCAGAAGCTGTTTATTTACTCAATAAACATTTTAAAAACCTTTCTGAGTCTGTGTGTAGGATCCTCTGCCATCAAATCTCTGACAACAGGCAGGAAGTGGAACACCTGGAGAGCTGGTTCAAGGAGAATAACATTCATATCAATGTGAAGAAGATGAAGGAGATGGTTGTGGACTTCAGATGGAACAAATACACCCCCCTGAACATAGGAGGATCTGCGATGGAAGTGGTCTCCAGCTACAAGTACTTGGGTGTGCACCTGAATGACAACATCAGCTGAGGCAACAACACTACCAGCCTGATCAAGAAAGCTCATCAGAGACTCTACTTCCTCAGACGGCTGAGGCGAGCTGGTCTGGAAGCTCAGTCCTCACCTCCTTCTACAGGTGTGCAGTGGAGAGCATCCTGTGCTCCAGCATCAACGTGTGGCATGGAGGCTGCACAGCTGCAGAAAGAAAAGCTTTGCAGAGAGTGGTGAAGGATGCACAGAAGTCTGCTGGAGTCAACCTCCCCACCATCACAGACATTTACACCTCTAGATGCAGGAAGAAGGCCACATGAATCATGAAGGACCCCACTCACCCAGCACACACATTTTTTGCCCCACTCCCCTCAGGAAGAAGGTTAAGGAGCATTAAGTGTAGAACCACTAGACTGAGGAACAGTTTCTACCCTGAGCCTGTTAGACTCATGAATCACTAACCAGGAAATCACTGAAAAATCACATCATGTTGCTGCTGATCTGTTTCATGATGCTGCTGATCTGTTTCATGTTGCTGCTGATCTGTTTCATGTTTTGTTGTTCATTTGTACTCATCTGCTCACACAGAGTCATGTTCGTGCTGCTGTTCAGCATATTATTTTTATGGTATTAGTGCTTAGTCTATATTTAGTTGATGTTTTTCTTAGTTCATATCTTTTTCATTCATTCAACTTTTATTATTTAGACAGGTTTATCTTAGATATTATTACTGTTTTTCTTTTACATTTTATTGTGGGATTTAATTGGAACCCTGTGTTCATAATCTCATTCCATCACATGTACCACACGAGGTGCGAATTTCAATTCAATTCAATGGTTTTTTTTATATAGCACGTTTAAAAATAACCACAGCTGACCAAAGTGTTTCACAGGAATTACAACATCATAGATAAAAAGATGATAAAAGAAATAAAATTGAGTTTAATAAAAATAAAAGTATGATCAAATTTGCAGGAAAGCACCAATAAAATAATAGTACTAATAAAAACCAAGACAAACTATTTCACATTTGCTGCAATTTCCCAAAAACTTAAATCAATCAGGTACTAATTTGAGGTTGAAGGGCAGGGAGAATAGATGTGTTTTCAGTCTGGACTTAAACTGATCTACTTGACTGAGAGGGCTTAAAAGACAGAGGGTGGCTGTTCCACAGTCTGCGTGCTATCACAGAGAAGGCTCTGTCACCTCTAGTCTTCAACTTAGCTTGAATGACAATAAGGAAACTCTGACCCTCTGACTCTGACTCTCTAACTCTGATTCTGAATCTGACATCTGGAGCAGTGCCACTGGATTGTCAAACTAGGGTGGTGGTTCCCATTTTTAAAAAGTGGGATCGAAAGGGTGTCCTCCAATTACAGGGACTTTACTCTCCTTAGCCTCCCTGGTAAGGTCTATTCAGGGGTACTGGAAAAGCGAGTACAATTATTGGTTGAACCTCAGATCCAGGAGGAACAATGCAGGTTCCGTCCTGGCCATGGAACACTGGACCAGCTCTTTATCCTCACAAGGGTCTTCGAGGGGTCATGGGAGTTTGCCCATCCGATCTACATGTTTTGTGGACTTGGAGAAGGCATTTGACTGTGTTCCTCAGGTTACACTGTGGGGGATGCTCCGTGAATATGGGATTGGGGGCCCGTTGTTACGGGCTGTTCAGTCCCTAAACAAGCAGTGTGAGAGTTTGGTTTGCATTGCCTGGAGAAAGTGAACCCCTTCAGGGTGGGATTGGACTCTGCCATATCTGCTCATTGTCACCGATTCTGTTCATAACTTTTATGGACAGAATTTCTCAGTGCAGCCAGGGAGCAGAGGGATTCTGGTTTGGTGGCCTCAGGATTCCATCTCTGGTCTTTGCAGATGATGTGGTCCTGTTGGTGTCATCATGCTGTGGTCTTCAGCTCTCACTGGAGTGGTTCGCAGCCGAGTGTGAAGTGGCTGGGATGAAAATCAGCACCTCCAAATCTGAGGCCATGGTCCTGAACCACAAATGGGTAGATTGCTCTCTTGAGGTTGAGGTTCTGCCTCAAGTGGAGGAGTTCAAGTATCTTGGGATTTTGTTCACGAGTGAGGGAAGATTGGAGCAAGAAATTGGCAGACAAATTGGTGCAGCATCTGCAGTGTTACAGACTCTTTATCAGTCTGTTGTGGTGAAGAGAGAGCTGAGCTGTAAGGCAAAGATCTGTTTACTGGTCAGTGTACGTTCCTACCCTCACCTATGGTCACAAGCTCTGGGTAGTGACCAAAAGAATGAGATCGCCAATACAGGCAGTTGAAATGAGTTTCCTCTGCAGGGTATCTGGACTCTCCCTTAGAGATAGAGTGAGAAGTTCAGTTATCCATGAGAGACTCGAAGTAGAACCGCTGCTCCTCCACATCGAGAGGCGCCAGTTGAGGTGGTTTGGGCATCTGGTAAGGATGCTCCCTGGATGCCTCTCTAAGGTGGTGCTTCAGGTATGTCCAACTGGGAGGACACCCCGGGGAAAACCCAGGACACGTTAGAGAGACTATGTCTCGAAGTTGGCCTGGGAATGCATGGGGGTCCCCCCAGAAGAGCTAGAAGAGGTGGCTGTGGAAAGAGATGTTGGGCCTTCCTGCTCCAGTTGCTGCCCCTGCGACCAGATGTCAGAACAAACAAAAGATGATGGATGGATGGATGGATGGATGGATGGATGGATGGATGGATGGATGGATGTATG